GCAAAATGATTTAGTGATGTCTTCTCAAGATTCGATAACAATGGTGTTGAAGTGTATGCTTAGAGGTGCTGCTGATTATCTCATTAAACCCATGAGGAAGAATGAGTTGAAAAATCTATGGCAACATGTGTGGAGAAGACTTAGTGTGAGTTTTTTTTTTTGGAATTCTTGTGTGTTTAGCTGTGTGGTGTTGATTTTGAGGTTTGAGGGACTTAGTTTTGGTGTGTTTTTTGGTGGTTATTATGAATCAGTTGCGTAATGATCCTACTGCTCATGCTCATAGCTTACCAGCTTCACCGCATAACCTTGAAGATACTGATGAAACTAGTTCAGATTCAAGATATCATTCTGATCAAGGAAGTGGTGCTCAGGTAATGGATATGGTCTTTATGGATTGTGTTTTTGTATGAGTTTGTGACTGTGACTGTGAGGTTTCATCTTTGAGATTTTGGACCTTATAGTTTATCTTGTGTCTCAATAGATGCTGATATTGTGTACGTGTGTAAATTACGCAGGCTATCAGCTACAACGGTCACAATAAGCTAGTGGCGGATGTCAAACCGATGGATGTGACCATGGATTTGCTTGGTGGAATTGACAAACAGCCTGATAGTTTCTATGGAGACAACACTCGTGACGAGCATGTTGGTCCAGAGCTTGGACTTTCTCTGAAACGATCTTACTCTGAAAGTTTTGAGAATCAAGATGAAAGCAAGCTTCAAAAGCTTAGTCTTTCCGATGCATCACCCTTCGCACGGTATGTCTGCTTGCCTTGGGAAAAAAGAATGTATCAAACTTTGATTCGTGTTTTAATCGAATGACAATACTTAACTTGCAGGTATGAGAATAGCAAGCCAGTAGAGAAAGCCGTCGAGGCGAGTAGTTCAGCTGAGCCAAAGACACCAAGTGAATCGCACGAAAAGTTAAGAACAGTAAGATCCGATCTAGGAAGCGCCACAACGAGCAGTAACCAGGAGAATATCGGATCATCAAGCATAAGCGGACAGAACCAAGTTCTTCAATCCGCGGTTACAAATCAGAAACAAAATCCGCAAGATTCTCCTTTACCAGTAGAATCAAACCTTCTCAAAGCAAGCAAGGAGCTAGAAGCTGTTTCTCAAAGCATAAGCAACACTAATGAAGGGATTACAGGACAAAGTAACAGCAGCACAGAGAAACCAAAGGAAGAAGAAAGTGTCATCAATGTACAACAACAACGTTGGAGTCAAAGAGAAGCTGCATTGTTGAAGTTTCGATTAAAGAAGAAAAATCGATGCTTTGATAAAAAGGTAAGAGATCCCACCACCACAAGCTATGGATCATAAATATCATCAAGATCAAATTTTGATTCAATGGAGATTTGTATAAAAAATGGATTACAGGTTCGATACCAGAGCAGGAAGAAGTTAGCAGAGCAACGTCCACGAGTGAAAGGCCAGTTCGTGCGTGCCGCGAATTCAGATGCGTCTACTAAAGCCTGAAATTCCCAACGAAAAAACTATTTTAAGTTCTTTCACAATTTCTTTGTGTTTTGGTTTTGTAATATAGACTTTATTTAGACTTGTTGTTGTAATTTAGTGTGGCTTTTGTATTTGAGTGTTTTCTAGTTTCTACTCAGCTAATTTGAGTGAGAAACTGATTTTGTATATAAGATCAACTCTACGAATGATCGGGTTAAGGCTACGTAACTCCAATTTCGTTATATAATAGCAAAAACAGTCTAGGAAATGGTAAACAGAGTAACAAATATCTTTTATCAACAAAATTCAGTGATTCCAATTTTTGTGAAATATTTTTTCATCTTGACTAGTAATTTTTGTTTAAAAGACTCAAAGTAAGGAACTATCAAATTCAAAATATTTTCAATAACGCCATTTTTCAAAA